ACACAGATGGCCTCAACTGCTGAGATCTCTCACCTTCTCCTACAACGCTACAGTGCATGAGACCACTGGTTTTGCCCCTTTTCAACTGATGTTTGGCAGAACTCCCAGTTGCCTGTTGATGTGATGTTTGGATCTATCTCGTGGATGATCAGGTGGTGGACTATGATGACTGTGTGCGGAGTCTCAGACGTGACTTAGCTGAGGCTGTGAGAGTTGCTCAGATCTCCACCACAAAACAACAGCAGAAACAAACAGACTACTACAACAAGAAGTTCAAAGGTGCTGTGGTTGAGGTCGGAGACAGAGTCTTGTTGGCTAATAAAGGCGAAAGAGGAAAAAGGAAACTGGCTGATCGCTGGGAAAACTGCCTTTACACTGTTGTGGGGAAACAAGACAACACTCACACCTTCAGGATCAAGAACAGTGCTACGGAACAGGAGAAAGTAGTCCACAGGAACCTCATAATGCCTGTTAACTTTCTGCCAGTTCAGACTGAGTCTGAGGATGATGATGGTTCTGGTCTAAGTGATCTTACCACTGGAGCTACTGATGACTCGCTGCAGGATGTTGATGTTGCTGGCTCTGTTGCACTGCCTGACTGTGAACCTGAGGACAGGACTGTTTCGTGGTTCTCTCAGCTGCCAGCTTCCGCTGGGGGCCACCAACCTGATTCAGTGGATGTTCCTTTGACTGTTGACATACCTGACATGACCGTTGATGTGCCTGTTGGCACTGGCTGTCCTGCTGACCAATCTGACTCTCAACCTGTGACCTCTGAACATGAACTTGTGACACGGTCCTTAGATACAGGTAGTGTAGTCATATCTATGTATTAATACGAGGTATGGGAGAGTCGTTAGACCTGTTATGAGGCTTATTCAGCAAATGCAACAGAAGGTTTTTGTTGGACACTAGTGTTATGTCCTGGGATTTTGATAAGACTGATGTGACATGATATGATGTGATGTGATATTTTGGTTCACTTTTGTACTGAAGAAGATTTCTCTTACTTGGGAGGCTATGTGAGAGCACTAGTAGAGTATGGGAAGTAATGTGGTTTGTTAGTACTGTGTAATTTATGTGATACCTAGTTGCTTAGCATGTAGAAGGGCATGTTTTCCTATGGGTGTTGAAAGGATTAGCTCCCCTTTCTCATTCTAATTCTTTGGGAATAGTCGGCGACTGGATTACTGGGTATCAGTGATATAAACAGTACTGTGTAAATATGTTTTTTTTCTCTACCATGGTTGTATGTATGTAATTGTTGGTACCTGGTACGTTTTTGGTTAGGTGTGTCCTCACAGAACTTGCATAATTGTTTTTGTTTTGTTTTGTTCAGATGGGCAAGTGGAGATCAGTAGGGGGGAATGTAACAGAGTTAATGATTCCACTTGCCATCACTTGGCATAGAATGTCCTTATTTTACTATATCAATTGTTTAAATACTGTTTATAATTAATTCTAATGAGTATCCATTGGGACTGTGTGTAACATGAGCGCCCTCTGCTGGGGCCCGTGCAGACTTGAGCGGTGCAGCCCGTGCAACTTTGCCAGTCTGCACTATGCTGTCCCCGTGGTAAGTTATGTGTAAATAAGCTCCACTAAAATACTATAAAATAAGTTTGTTTTTCTTGATGAAAGTAATATTTTTCCATTTAACATGTTTGAGAGAATCTCCGAAATTATTGTAAAACTTTTCTGTGATTATATTACTATGTTTTTGAGTCATTTAGGCTCACCATGTTGTGTGTTTTGCTAGCTAAAATGTAACTTATGATCTCCATGGTGTAGCTTGCTTTACAGTTAGCTCAATGATTTGTTTCTATGTTTTAGCAATGTTGGAGCTTATTACTAAGTGGCTGTGAGAGACCGTTATGTGCTTCTGTTGTTTATCAGGTACACATCTTTCAATTTATTCATATGTATGTATCTTGGCCAGTCTGCACTATGCTGTCCCGTGCAATGTTGGAGCTTATTACTAAAAGAGTGGCTGTGAGAGACCGTATGTGCTTCTGTTATCAGATTAAACGGCGTGCTGGTGCCAAAAGTAAAAGTGTTTGCCTGATTCATCACACAACGCAAGAGAAAGTACACAACCGCTACAATGACACACGTAAGATTATGCCTGTTTTGCCTGTAATGTTGGGACCAGAGAGTAACTATTTCAATAGACAGCTCTGGTACAGAAGAAAACAGCTAAATCAGCCAAATTTTATTTAGTTAACATTTAGCTCAAGGCACCATATTGCAGTTTTTCCCAACTTGGGGGTCGGGATCCCCAGTAGAGGTTGCCAAAACTTCAAAGAGGGGCCTTCTTGATTTTAAGGGATGTAGGTAAACTTAAAAATGCAATGCATTGAATGAATGAAATGTCCATAAAATATGTCCCTTAGTGAGAAGTATTTAATATACTCGATGGAAAAAGGTTGGGAACCACTGCCATAGTGCAGGCACATAGAATAGACCAAAGTCACTTTATTGTTTTCATGAGAAATTATTTAAATGACAAATTTGCCAACCCCTGCAATGAAAAGGTACCTAAGCAGACTACTATGAAACCATTTTGATAGCCAACTAAACGTTATATCTAACAATATAAAAGACAATTAGTAATTGTATGTTTGAATATACTGGTGACCTATATTTTAATGTAATGGCATGTGAAGGGAAATTCAACATATCCTTTAATCATAGAAAAGAGCGTTATGAATATGCGGTTCCAACAAGGAATGGAGCTCAGGAAATGCGTCTCAAGTGCTGGATTTGAATTATCTTGGATTTACCTGCCTTTAGCTGAATGCCAGTCAACATCTAGGACAAACACCCGTGTACACACGTGTTACCGCGCGCGCGACAGACACACACCATCCACTGCACTCTAGTGATATGCACGCGCATAGAGCACATAGACGAATATAAAACATGATAATGTTACATTATTAGAACACTGCAGCAGCTGCCCTACAGCCAGGAGGGCCCTTAGATTGAGAGCGGCACTAGGAGGAGAGAGAAGAGAGGCCTACTTTGAAAGGAGAAGGACACGGGGAACGATAATTGAAAGATGGAGAAAGGCGAACAGACCGATGAACGGGAGAGGTAAAGATGAGAACGGTGGGGCGATGATAGAAATTAAAATCCTACCGATCTGGACGCTCGGAGATCCGCACAACGCCTCGCGCCATATAAGTATCACCACAAGCAGCAGCTTCATGGTCGTGTTCTGGCTCCTCATAACGACGCCACAGCAGCCTACGGTAGCGGTTCCTACCAAAACATAATATCCATCACACACGATACGAGCTCATGTCGCCGTTCCAGGTTCGCTAAGAAGCTCGAGCTCTGCAGATATCCTGTCCTCTTTCCTGAGATGCGCGTGCAGCTGCTGCTGGTAGGCTGGGGGTGCGCGCCGGATTGCCCAGGAATACCGATGAGACACGAGAGAGAACCGAGAGCATCCGACAGTTTAACATAAAGCAGCGTTTATGAGGACAGAACAGTAGCCTAGGTTAACATAAACGATACTGGAGTAACACATACCAGTATCATATTAATACTGGCTAACAATTACAAAGATAATAAACTGCCATCACACAAGGAATATCCAAATAGGCTGCCAGTTAGGTCTTTACTGCACAGTAATATAATTCATATATAAAATATAAAAAATTAATGGATAACATGATATAATAAATCATATAGCCTACTTAATGCTGAACTAATGCAGGACTTGTGATCATTTAATGCATTCATTAATGCAGAATATATAATTAATTACTGTTACTTTTAACAAATGATTGGGTTACTATGACTTTAGTGATTAGTTCACACTTAATAGAACATCAGTTGAAGAATGTTGAAAATTCTATATGTAAGATTGGGAAGCATTTTACTCATTATTCTTTATTTGTCACTTTTTCTTGGTCCTTCGGGCGCCTGGTTAGCTCAGTCGGTAGAGCTGGCAAACCACGCACTGAGGCCCAGGGTTCGAATCCGACCTGCGGCCTTGCGTGTCATCCCCACTCTCTCTACCCCCCTTTCCTGTCTATTTT